GCTGTGGTTCTAAACTGAAAGTCAATTCAAATTGGAAAAAAAAAAATAAAAAATCAATCATTTTTGAAAATTCAATTTTCCGAAGAAATTGTTAGTGCTGAGAAAAAACGAGGTGTTACTCCTCTTCGACGGTAAACATTTTAAAAGAATGATACCCTTTGAGACACCAGACACCGTGGTACCGAGGTAATTCATTTTTTCTACCCATTCTGTCACAAAAATCATACAAGTCATACGTGGTGGTAAAAGGACGGAATGAAGCATTTGACTGGAAAAATTCCTTATCACATGAACAACCGAGAACATTCTCAGATACATCGTGGAAATATTTCCATGTATATTTTTGCCTGCTGAATTCGTTGATGACCTTTATTTTCTACATTCGTGCGCCAATCTCCTTGAAAATTGCATTTCTCTCGGTTAAGCTCGATTTTTGAGGAAAATTCTAATTTTCCGGATGGAACCGAACCTTGAGACAGAAAATCGGAGATCATTGCTGGAATCCACGATTTAAATACATCCACATGCTTTTTGGTAAACCAACCCTTGCTGATGTTAATAAAATGTATCAAAGAATCCAGGAAATGCTCCATAAGAGAATAATTGGAAGATGAACTAAATTGCAGTACTTTATTATTGAACTCTAAAACTACTATTATATTAGAGTACAAAAACATAATCTTAGAGTAATGGTGGAACTAGAATTTACTTATTTTAAACTTATTATCAAAGCGCGCTTTGGTCATCTTCAGCTGAGAAAAAATGATGGCAAACTATGTACAAAAATATGACTAACTGAAACTGTACACTTAAAAATTATAATCTAAATTAAGTCAATTTTTCTACTTAATTTTGTAGAAAAATATGAGACGTAAAACAAAGAAAAATGCATTGGTCGGAGAGAGTTATTCACAACTTGCAAATAATTTACAAGGCATACAAAAAATATCACACACAGCAAAATGAAATTCTCCTTCCGCAAAAATAATTGTCCGAGTAATATTTATTGTTTTACCCTCCGAACATCTATGGTTATGACTAAAATGATATTAGGAAATCTGATCAAAACAAACGAATTATGGGTATGCATGTTCATTTTTAAAATTTTGTCGTGTCCATTCAAATCCTTAACTTAAATATCAGACACGGAAATTGGATTTGGATGGTGCTTTAAAGAGAGAGGGGTGTAGTGAGCAAGACTTTTCATTGCGAGAAAATGGTTTCTATACTAGATCAGATTAAAATGTTAATGCTATTTACACCTTACATTTTTAGCGTGTTTGCTCCTTTTCTCCTGGTGCAAAGATTGTCATAAGCTTTACCTATGAGGTTTAAAAAATCACAGAAATATGTGTACTTCTATCTCACCACATCCATTCATCCCTTTTTCCCTTTTTTGTCTCAGGTCTCTTATGAATTTCAAGTTGCTGAATGAGATATGTTAGTTTTTCCCCAAAATATTCTGGAAAATACCTCAAACAATGGAGTAAAGTTTGTACATAATAACGGAATCATTGGTAACAGAAAATTAAAGCCGGTACATCGAATAAGATTTCCTCCGAGAGGAAACTTTATTATTAATACTGACTTGTCTGCAATTTTTGAAAATTTATGTAATTATATGAAATAAATTTGAAGGGAGTAATTTGGTTAAAGACTATCAATCAACCCTTGTCAAGCTAGAGGTACTGATTTGATGCCGATGCAGAAATAAACGTAAAAAGGTAAAAACATTAATTGACATGCCTCGTTCATTCTTGTGAGCATCATTAAAAAATCGTTTTCGTGCATTTCAAATTTCTTTATCCGTTTTCTTACTTGAATTCATTCTTGTCTTGAAAACAGCAAATGTTTCTTTGTGCGACGAATGAGATCAATTTCTTTTGATGAAAAAATGTTACAATTTTCAATATTTAAATCTCTAAATTATGTTATTTTTTCATGCTAAGATTTTACCATGCGCTATACACTTGCAGATCTTCAATATTGTTTTTTATTTTTATTTTTAGGATATCTAAAAGATGAAGCCACTTTGCTTTCTCGCTGCTTAAAACTTTTAATGAGAGAAGCTCATTCAATATTGATATTGACTTTCTGTATCATTCGTTTTTACATGCAAGCAAATTAACAATAAATGTAAATCGTCAAAAGGTTTACCCTATTTCCTTCATTAACTTAATAATGGAGGAAACTCCTTCCTCATAGGGCAATTGGAGGATTTTAAAAATCCATTTTGCGTTACAGAATGTCACAGGAACAAATTTACCTCAATAAGATGATTCAAACCAGAAGCTGGTTTTAAAGTGAGTTGCCTTTTCTTATCGGAGGCATCAGACGGCACAGTACATCGGTAAGTCCGTTTAAATGAGAAAAAAATCCACTGATCAATGCCGCACAACACGAAACTGCAATTCCTTGCAAACTTGGATTTCTTCAAATTTTTCGCCATAGTCATTCAGTTTTGAGTATCTGCGAACATTATTCGTCGGGTTACAAAATAAGAAGATAAGATTGACAATATTTTGCAACAAGGAGCCACTATTTCTAGCTTTGCGCCACCAGTTTCCCTATTGAAATTAGTGATTTTGTAGATGAGCTAGGAATGGTAGTTCCCAATTGCAAAATAATGCCCATGTGAAAGTTAGGAAAACCAACTTGCAAACTGATATTTTCATATATACTCTAAGTGCTGTTTGATGTGAATTTTATCAAAACGCTTTTTAGAAATAACTGTGAAACTGCTCATTAATTTATGGTATGAAAGAAAATACAGACACACCCACAAAATTTTCTCAGCGCCTAATACTTTGCAAAATTCGTGAAATATTCTAGGAGGAATATAACAACTGAATAGTCATACAAATTTCCAAATATGTTGGTAATATAATAATTGTGAATTAAACAATTATCTTTGCATTGCACCATATTAACACGAATGATGGAAAAATAAAGGAAAGAGGCTTTTTTACTCCTTTTTCCCTCCATAATATATTTCATACTGAATATTATTTTCTGTGTATGATGTGTAAAAACGCACGATAATTTGAGAGGGCTAACATTTGTGATCTTGCACGCAAATTTGAGATCCGAGAACAAATCTAAAAAAATTAGAGAGCCATCAAAGCCAGAAAAGTCCTAATCATTTTCCTTAGAAAAACCCATATTAGTCAAAAAAAATTAATAACATTCAACACTTTTTTCTTCTTTTTTTGAAACGTCATTCCTTGATCAGTTCTGCCTCTTTCCTCAAAAACTTTGACTCTTCTCTACGATATAAATCTCATAAAATGAAAGTATGCCAATGAATCTTTTCCGAACTTTTGACTTGAGGATTGTATCCCATTTTGCACCATACAGGAAGAAGAACCTAACTTTGAAATTTTCGGTCAAAAATGTCAAACCCCCATCCTTAAACCTACAAAAGACCGCAGAATTTGCGAAACCAATAATCTATCTCGTTTCTCAATGAAGAGTTTTCAAAACCAAACCGAATACATAAAAACACAGCTCACCTGTTTGATATTCCGCTAAAAGCACCAATCATCACCAGCAGAGTCGAGATCACCGATGAGCTTTGGTGGTACCGTTCACAGATCGCTTCTTCTTGAAGAATCCACCATCAGAGAAACCTCCACCTCCGACCTCTCCGTGCCCGAACTTATGCCCCTCGGCATGCCCAGCCTTCTTGGCGTACTCCTCCTCCTCGCCATGGTGCTCCTGCTGCCCGGCCTCACCTTTGTGTCCCTTTGACTGGTGGTAGTTGTGCCCCTCGTCCTGCTCACCCTTCTTCGCCCCGTGCGACTCGTGGTAGCCCGCGTCCAAGTGTCCCTTCTTCTCCTTGGCGCCCTTCTCTTCCTTGTGTTGTTCCTCCTCGTGGGCATGCTCTTCCTGTTCGCCGAGATCGTGACCCTCGTCGTAGAACACCTCGTCTTTCTTGTACTCGTCCTTGTGGTGCACCTTGTGGAAACCCGAGGACTTGTGTCCCTTCTTGTGCCCGCCCTTCTTCACCACGGAGATCCCTTTGCCGCCTACGTTCCCCTCGTGTGCCTCGCCGTAGTGTTGGGCCTGATCCACGTGGCCCTTCTTGTCCCCGCCTTTCTCGCTCACGTGGGCTGCCTTTTCTTCATGTCCGTGTTTCTCACTCTCACCCTTTTCGTAGGCTTCCTCCTTCTTGAACCCTTTGTCGGCCTTTTCTCCTTGCTCGGCTTTGTGGGCCTCTACGAACTTCTTCCCGCCGTCCTTCTCGTAGTGCTTCTCCTTATCGTACTCCCCACCGCTGCCATGGAAACCACCGCCGACACCCAAAAGCCTGGAACCAGCACCCTCCAGAGGTTGATCTCTATTGGCGTCTCCTACGATTTCCTGGATGTTCTTGGGCGGTTCGGCGGTTTTGACCGGGTCTTTTGACTCGCTGGTCGTCTCTCCGTTCTCGGCCTTTCTGTGTTCCGGCGCCTCCGAGGGGGTGATACTCGTCGTTGCGCGTGCTTCGAGACCTCTATACTTGTCCGGGTTCGGTCGCCGGTTGGTCACGCCCCCGTCACTAGGGAACCGGAATGCACTACCTGCTGCACTATTTGGCACTACGCGGGTCACAGCTTTGAAGTTTGTCGTTGCGGTGTCAGCATCGTTGTATTTCGGAGTTTGAGCTTGAGGCTCGAAGCTCTCCACATTTTCCGCGATGTTCACTTTGTTCGGGTTTTGGGTCGACTTGGTCTCCGAATCGACGAGGCGCCCTGATTTCTCGTCACTGTCGTATTCTTGGTACTCGGCGTCGTAGTATGTGTCTTTCGGGGGGTGTCGAGCGGCACCTTTGCGTTTCTTGCCGGTGTCTATTTCGTACTGGTCGTAGAAGCTCTGCGACGCCTGCTCTTTGGCCAGCCGCTCGGACATCTCGGCCAGTCTCGCGATCTCACGTGGGTTCAGCTTCAAACCGGGTAAACTCCGTAAATTCGAGCTGTGGAGACGTTCACTTTCGACGGCTAATTCGATAAGTCGCGGATCCACAAATTCCTGTTCCACTTGACGCCTGTCATACACCGCTGTACCCTCGACTGCATTTTGCATCAGTATGGGCAATAACACCACAAGTAACACACACCGCACATGCGTCATTTTTGGGAAAGCGTCCCAACAGATTGTAAAGATAGACGCCAACTGATTGTAAAGATAGACGCTTGAGATAACTGAGTTCACTATTACACGATTGAGCGACACGAACGGTTAAGCGATGGACACAGGTCGGCTGTGACCCTGCAACTGGCGGCGCTCTGGGCGGGGCTCAATCTTATATTTTAGTTTTGATCGGAAGAAAGTGGGATCTCTTCGGGGGATTGCAACATCGAGGAGGACGCGAAGAACGGACAAAGGGAATTTTAGGAAAATCATCAGAAGCTAAAGACCGAGTAATTAAGGCCGACTGTCCGAGCAAATCAGCGTAAAATCACCGGGGAACGAGCGGATAAAGAGAAATGACGCGAAATTGGCACATGGTCTTACGAAGCGGAACGAACCGCAGTTCGGTCAGCTTCCACGCGAAAACAGAGCGAGTAAACGCAGCGGTTGAACGCGAAGAGGTGAAGGAAAGAAAGCGGCCGGGAAAACCGTAGGCACCCGCGCGTGCAAGCGAGAGAGAGAATCGCGGGTGAGAAGGGCTATCAATCGGATTTCAAGGGTGAGCCGTGGATTATTCCATCTTCAATGCAGAAATGCTGATGTCGCACCGTGGTCCAAGGCTTGTATTCCGCTTGAGTAAAGGCGTCAAACTGTTTACACGCGCGCCGAAAAATAGCGCTCTGATCTTCGCTTTGAAGTCTTGCAGCATGAGTTGAAATATCGACGCTGGATCGTTGCTACGTCTGTTGAATCCAAAGTTAAAAGATCTACAAACTGGGATCTTATATTTTGACTTGAGCGATCGGGGTGTGATTTTATGCTGATTTTAGGCTAATTTTGAGGTTTCAGGGGAAGCAATTCAAAATAAAGGACTTCAAATTGCAATTAACTGCGACAGTTGCAATTTGCAACAAATTTACGAAAAAACTAATTTTTACACAAAACCGATTCCAGTACCTCAAAACATCTCAAAAAAAAAAAAAAAAAAAAAAAAAAAAAAAAAAAAAAAAAAAAAAAAAAAATTATCACAATCCCAACTATACTCCTGGCTGATATTGGCGCCAGCTATGAGGAGAATTGCACCAGCCAGAGGTATGGTTGATCCAACCGCACTTTTTGGCAGACTCAACAGTACCTCTGACTGGTGCAACTACTCTTATATCTGGCGCCAAAATTAGCCAGAAATATAGTTGGGACTGTGATACTTTTTTCCGTAGACATTATAATTTTCCAAATGCTGGGGGCCGCCGACCGTTCTTACACTCAAAATACACACGATATCGGATTTTTTTTACCCCCCCCTCCCCCTCTCCATCGTAACCCAACCGTAACACAGATCGGCACCCGATTTACAATTACGTAACGTTCTGATCTTCCCACCACTCTCAAATTATCGTTTTGTAATGAATTTTGAATGTTAAATCACCATCTCGCGTCGAATCAGCACGCATTTCATCAACGGTCCATATGATTTCCTGTAAGGAAGGGAGACCAATACCGGCATCTCACATATCGTCGTACCTCTGACGTAAGGGCTTATCTTGATTTCCGCATAAGTCCTAGAGAATTTGAATTTATAAATGAAACAGGGCTCATGTAGATATTGAGATACGGCCTTACGTCAGAGGAGTGACGATATTGCTTACCCTTGGATCCGTTTTATTTTTCTATTTTTTGGGTTTTATGTTTAGAAATGACTCGAGTAAAACTCAAAATTCGTTATGCATTAAATCTATATTTCTTTGTACAGTACACGGAGAAAAAAAACTTTGTGCGTGGGACCCGAAGTTCATATGGATCTCTGAAGTTTTCGGATTGAGCATCCGAACACTTAAGGTCCCAGCTGCTGAGGTTTGGTTCACACATCTGAAACTTCAGTTCTTACGTCTGAAGCACTTCGGTTCTCACATCCGAAAAACTTCAGTTCTAACATTTTGCAGTACTTCAGATGTAAGAACTGGAGTTTCAGATGTGTGATCCGAACCTCAGTAGCTGGACCTTAAGTGTTCGGATGCTGAATCTGAAAACTACCTAAACTTCGAGTCCCACGCACGAGGTTTTTTTCTCCGTGTAGTATACTGCCGTGCTAAGGAAGAACGCCGTATGAACATTCGATAGTTGTCAAATTTCCTCTCATAAAAAAGTTATTTTTGCGGAAAATTATGAATATTTTTCTTTGAAATTTTCAGGAACTTTAGGTGAAATTGCAAACGAAATTATTTGAAAAATTGTAGGAAAAATTTTACAAATTTTCCAGAAAATTGGTGATTTACCAAAGGAAATTTGGCAACGCCTGAAGGTTCATACGGCGTTTTTCCTTAGCACGGAAGTATAGTATACAGAACCACCTGAATCTTGGTCGTAAACCATAGTGTGCCGTACTGTTGGGATAGGAGAGGAAGCGGGCGGATGGTGGATGCGCGAGCCTTGGATGCTGGAGATTCAAGGAAAGATGCATCCGAGTGCGATCTGATCAAGCGGAATATTACTTCATGATTGATCGTTGCGCAATGGTGACGTTTTGTCTGGGTGCCTTCGTCTGACCGCCCCCCTTCCTCCATCCTCGACCCCTTGCCCGCTCGAAGAGGTTATTGTCTCGGTTTGGTTCTTTAATTTCAACCGGTGACTCCGACGCGACGCCCGCGCTCGGGAAACCCGCTCAACGGTGGATTCCAAGTACATCAATTTTCTTCTTTGACCTTATTTTCAACTCCGACTAAGGACTAAGGTCAATGAATAATGGGTGTCTTTCGCTTGCACTGATGTGTTCGATTCGCACGCTCCGTGTTTGCCGTGGAACTCTCTAGAGTTCCTGTCCATCTCGGTGACCTGCTTTACGTCCCTGACGTGATTACGCCTTCTATAAAATAGGTCTGTGTGAATTTCCGCGGGACATATTTTAAAGTGGACTTTATTTGTCCATTTGCCCATAATTATTGCAAACTGTTTGCAGTAGACGCACGAGTCATTTGGTCAGGAAGTTGGTAACGTAGCCAACGTGCGTTAAAATCAACATAAATCTGAAAATCTCAATAAAGAGGGGAAAAGCTCATATGAGCACAATTTTCCCTCGAAGAGATGTGCTGTTGGCACCTAACAGCACATCTCTCGGAGGAATAATTGTGCTCATATGAGCACAATCTCTCTGTATTGAGATTTTCAGATTTATGTTGATTTTAACGCATGTTGGCTACGTTACCAACTTTCTGTCTGATCAATTATTAGACCTTAATCGAAGAGTGAAGTTTTAGTAGTTACTGAGAGTCAAAGAGCGATTAATACATTGCGCACATCGCATCTTCGTTTTAAAAAAATAAAAAAAAAAAAAAAAAAAAAAAAAAAAAAAAAAAAAAAAAAAAATGGAATTCACATGACAAACAAACTCTTTAAATAGTCATTCTTAAACAAAAAGCCTACCACAAAATGTGTACATTTTCATATACGAATTCACATGACAAACAAACTCTTTAAATAGTCATTCTTAAACAAAAAGCCTACCACAAAATGTGTACATTTTCATATACGCGTAATAATGCTTATTTTTTCTTTTTCTTTTCTTCAATTTTTTTTTTACTTTTCTTAATTTTGTATTTGTAAATTTTTTTCTTAATGTTAAAATAATTCGTTCATTTATTAGATCAAGTCTCAATTTTGTTTAGCCATCGACGGTCTGCATGTAGCCAATGGCTGTTTCCGACAAATCTTGTATCTTGTTTTTATATTCTGTAACGCGGAGGACTGAAACTATCAGTAAATCGTGCTCGATGGGTGCCACAATGGGGCCAGAAATTTAAAAAGGCGCAATTTTCGGCCAAATTAGAAGGTCTTTGCGTTTCAAAGATAATGATCCCACAAAATTTAAACCCATATCGCTCAACCCCTGGCAGATATTGACATTTTATTATAGTACTTGTGATAATTGTTTCAATAAAAGAGGAATACTGATCTCACAAGGAAAAATATTCACCAAGAGAAAATTTTACCTTATCAGAGGTGACCGTGATATAATATCTATGTCCAGTCTATAGGAAGTGCTTTACACCCACTCTCGTTCGTGAGATCTTGTAAAAGCTTTTATCTAAGAATCTCAATATTTGATTTCGAAATTGAATGCAATTGAATTTTGCAATTGAATTTCTCTGTCTCGAAGATGATAAAATGAGAACGATAAAAACTGAAACCATTTTCAGACTGTCCTCTACCACACTCGATTATCCCCCTTCAGGCTGGTTTTTTGATTCGCCAAACAACGGTACTGTCAGGTGCTACGGAGGCTTGCGAATACAGTACAGCAGTCTTTTATGCTCTGATTTTGAGGAGATTATACGGAGCCAACGAAAACAAATCCATTCGAAAACCCCTCATCGAAGTCGGGATTAAATAAATAAATACAAATAAAATGACCGCTGATCGGAGAGCAAAAAATTGAATCACATGCTCAATTGATGGAGAGCCTCGCAGATTAAAAATAAATAAGTCGGTTTGTTGAAAGGAAAGAGGACAAAGTAGTAGCCTTTCGGGGCCGTCTCGTGAAGGGTGGTCAACCCTGAACTATTGGCCCTAAGGGTGTGTCAACAGTTGCCAGATGTACTGAAAACATAGAATGGGCACGCGGAATGTTACGTCGGGAGGATTTGAACTGAACAGATCAGGCCAACTATATCGACTAATAATATTTTAAAATACATTCATTGATAGTTACAAACATGGGCCTCATAATTGGTACGAAAATCTACATTTAAACCTTAAAAATCAGTTGCTGAAGCTTGGAAAAAAACTATCGGGAACAAAATAAGACATGCATCCAATTACTAGCGCAAAAAGGCGTAAGATAAGGAACACCTCAGTTGACGTCAGCCAGGTGCACTAACCTCTGACAATGAAATTACTGTTGAAGACATCATGAAGACATGTGAAAGACAGGAAAATAGTTCAAAATCTCGACCTTTGGCCAATTTCCCGAGCCCGAGCCCGAGCCCGTGTTTTTCTTAGAAGCGTAGAATTTTGCTTGCATCATTCGGTAAAGAAAGAAAAAACTCCGAAGTCGAAACTACCCGTTGAAATATTTAAATCCGGAACAATCAGTCCACCAGGCGCAAAGAAAATGATTTAAAAGCCTGATATGGCAAGTATG